GACAGTTAAGCTGTGATGGGTTTTATCTGTTTGCTTTATATAACAAACAGATTTATCTTGAAAGACAACTGAAGTCTCCTTCCCCTGTCCTCCTTTTGCATTTTAATGCTGCTGTTCAATTATGCAGCATGCAATGTTAAAATGCTTATATGCGATTTAACCATTGTCTGCAGCCCTTGTGGCTTGAATAAACTGCCTCGTTAATTAATGACACGTCTCCAATGCTATAAAAAGCCCCCAGCCATTTTTCCAGTAATCTGAGTAATTCATCCATCAAGAAAAATAAGGCTTTCAGATCTTCCTCAACAACTGTACCTTGCAGTGCAAATTTGAGTGGCCCTAGTCACTGTAACCATCATTTGGTAGTCTCTACCTCCAGAATGCATTTTTGTATGTTGAGACCCAAAAATGTAATTATTCCCTGACATCTTAAAGGTTCCCTTATGTGAACCTATAAATCCTTAATAGGAACAAGAATTATTCTAATAAAGACCAAAATAATTGCTTACATTTTAAAATTTCACAGACTGTAAGCTTTTTCATTTTGTCCTTTCTTTTCTTCATTCACAATAATTATGGTAAATAGCTACCTTCCTCATGCTGCCCCAGTTGCCCCTTTGTAGCTCCCTTTCATCATTCTGTTAACTCATTAGAAGGCAATCTCCAAGATCTTTTTCCACATATCCAGATGTCTGAGAATAATTAAACTTGACCCATCTGACTAGTGTAACAGCAAGGACTGCCCAACTAAACATGTGCTACAGCATCTGAATAAAACCAGAACAGGAGGGTGAGTGGGCAAACAAACATCTCATTTCAGAGCCATAGGCAAATGCAGATGTAGGTGAGAAGGCAACAGCAGGGCCCAAACAGATGCAACATTTTCAAACACTTATAAATTCTGTGGTTTTAAGCTGTGTTCTGGAAGCTAGGTAAGGCTACTGTCCTTATTTCCAGCTTAGGAGCTGTTCAGAACACCATTTCCTCAAAAAGGATTGGATAATTTGCAACTTCAAATCATAGTTTACAGATGAAAACAGGGGCTTCAAAAGCAGATTTATTAAAAGGGGATTTATTAGGTAAAATTCCTGCCTAAAGGACTAAAGCCATACCAAAACCCAAGAACTCTGAGAGAGAAGCTCACAAAACACCTGATGCCACCTGTAACCATTCGACAGCACTTCTTGTTAATCAGCTCCTACCTCCCGTGAGAGCTGTGGCTGCCACGGGGCAGCTGCTGGGCACAGCACGGTGCTGCTCCTACCCAGGGTCATGTATGGCACCATGTGCTGTGCCAGCACAGGGACCCCACCCAGCCCCACTGCTGGGCCCAGGAACAACACACATCCCCTTCTTCACCGGGAGCTCCATTCTGGGTCCTGGGCTCCACCCTGATGCACTGCAGGAAAGGGGAAGGAACTGAAGCCTGCCCCTGCCTCCTGCTTGTCACGGAAAAAAGATGCTGAAGCGTCTCTGTGGTTGCCATGGGAATAGGATGGCAAGTGCTGGGAGCAGGAGTGAGTAACAGCTTAGAAACTGCCTCTCTGCACAGCAACTGCAAGCTTCAAGAGACTTCTAAAAAACAACATACAGAGCTCCTGCACCCTGCGTTGTGTTTGATACAATGGAATTCATCTGCTGCTGGCCTCACTGTTTTCTTCCAGTGCATTTTAAGACCCTTCAGTGCACAGAATATCTGTTCCTAACATGGTGCTGGCTTTTCTGTTTCACTGAGAGCATAATTTTGTCTGGTGAGGCACAGAAGAGGCTGAACCTTGGGGCCTGTATTTATACATTTTTAGTACTCGTGCATGTCGCATCACAATGGGACCACGGACAACAGCTGTACCCAGCAGGATGCAAATCAAATTAGCCTACCTGCTTATAAACTTATTTTCAAAGCAAACAGAAGGAAGAATGCTGGCAAAGTTCACATATACCTGCATGTACACATATACCTGTCATGTTCTAGTCAAACAGAATCCTGTGAAGTCCCTGAATTTCCAGAAATAAAAGCTTACAACAGGAAAAAGGAAGGGGGGGGGCAAAACAGACATGGGCACTTACAGCTGTCAGAAAAGTCTAATAATTTGTACTAGCAGAGATGCAGGGACCAAATATAGGTTACTAGTACCTCCTGGAATATCCAGGAATTAAAATATATTAATTCATTTTCACTGAGGATTTCCTCTATTGGAGAGTGATTTCCCTTTTCACACACAGAAACAGCAATAGAAACAACCCCAGGGAAGTTCAAGGAGTTACACTATATTGCTATCAACGAAGGGATAATCAGACCCTCTACAGTTCTCACCCAGTTCTCTGACACTCTCTCCATCATGAAGAGAGATAATCTCTTTAATGGGTAAAATAGAAGGAGAAGGAGAGGGAAAGGGTGGCCTGAAGGCAGCAGGAGTTGATAGAAAAATGTCACTGCAAGCTCAGCAAACAGAGGGAGATAAAGCACTGGACAGTGTATTGTATGACTTGTGAGTTTAGGAAAAATCCTCAATTACTTATTGACATTGCTTCTATAATTATAAATAAACTCTTTGGTTAGACAAAAGTCAAGCTATTTCTCACTAATAAAGTCCTCAATCTGCTTGATATATACATTCCCTCCTTGAAAGTAAGCATGAGACAATGCTGCAGAACTGTCTCAAGACAGGAAACAGTATTCTCTGATATTTAAAATTTATTTTTCATTTCAAATATACTTTTCATCCCTACATGATCATAGGTGAGCCTGCTCACCAGAAAAATACTCCACATGACTTCTACAATCTCTTGTAGCCATGAAAAAGAACATTTAAAAGCTGCAAGGAAAATCCTACTCCTGAGCAATCCCATCCATCCAAGTTTAACACAAGCATGGCACTCAGTGTCAGACTGAGAGACAGCAGCCTGAGAGACAGACAGACTATACTGAGCAAATTTCTATCACGACAACAGAAAATGGATTCTGAACAATACAAGCCCCCTGGAAATGTAAATTTTGAAGATAATTGTGTTGAAGTTCATGGGACCATGGAGTGTAATACTTTCTAGGAATACTTTCACTAGCAACCTTCATGGTGCCAGAGGGGTAGCAAAAAGAACAGTAGGAAAATCTAAATTTAAATGTCAACATTTATCTTTCAGTGACTGTACTGACAAGCAGAGTACATTAAGCAGCAATAGGGAAGATGCTGAAACTACTCTAGACTAGAATAGTATTCTGTTCTCATTTGCACATATAGCAATCAGGAGAAAATTGAGGTAAGGCAATAAGCTAGTAAGGGTATCCATTTCCATAAACACTTATTTATGTAATGTATGCAACGTCCTTCCCCCCATATCGCTATTTTTAGTTTGAACTGAGCATAGTCTCTCACCCAGCACTTCTGTGATTCATATTTCCTCGTGCCTCCAGAGGCAAGTACATCTAAATATATTTTAGAAGATCACTTCTTTTCACCAGCTCTGGAGAACAGTACAAAGATCCATCATCACTTAACATGCAAACCCCTGCAAAGCACATAGTTAGAGAGAGCTGTGCAGAGTAACATCAAGCTCGTGGCTGGTTTGGGTCTCTATTTCAGTGAGTTTGTCAGTAGCAGAGTCTGTAAGTCAAGCAAGTCATTTTTACATAGCTGGAATTGGCCATTATGTTCAAAAGCATTTATCTGGACTCTGAACAAGTGTTTGTTTCCTGGAATAACCACTTATGGAGCATCCAGATTAGAAAGTACAAACATATTGGCTAAACTGAATTAAAGGCAGTCAGCCACTCCAAATTAAACACTCAAGTGAAGATATTTCCAAATACAGTAGCAACAACTGAGCATCACACAAGTGGGGTAGCCTCATGTTTAAAACATAGCACTGAGAGCTATTAGATCTTAGCTTCCCCTCCTACTTCTGCTGCTTGTCTCTTCCTCTTGATCTCAAGTAAATTATTTATTGTCAAGATTTACATTTCCCTAGATTCAAAAAAGAGGCAGGCAGACTCCCTGGCTTTAAAAAGCAGTGATGCAATTATTAATTCATTATTCTTTGCAGAGTACTCTAAAATTATTAGATGCTGCTGCAGAAATGTATATTATTTGTGCTATTATATTCCACTAGCAACTCCCAAAATAACTCTATCTTGGATGAATTTATAGTATTCTAAATTCAGTGGTACCTTGAGCCTTTATCCAATCTTTCCATGGCGGTATAAAATGAAGGAAGGAAAACAATCCAGCTGTGATCCTAACAGGGTTTCTCTTTGCACTATTCTATGCCCATCATTTCCTTCAGCACTGAATGATACACACATACAGTGACAGCAAACATGTGGAAGGAAAGACCATTCCAGTCAGTTCAGCGGTGAAAGGCAAGGAACCAATGTAAATCCTGCAAATGAAACCAGCACCCCAGCTCCAGACAGGCTGTAAATGGTGCTGTGTCCACTATCATATAATTCTTTAGAAAAATGGTAAAGAAGATTTTTTTTAACTGGCTTTTTCAAAGCTCAGCAAAATTTATTCTTTTAAATTTTATTTGCATAAAGGTGAGACATCTCTTCAACACTCAATTACATACATTTGCTTATGTGAATGCAAGATATAACCACAGGAACTGCTGGAACTGCTTCTGCTGCAAGGCCAGACTGGACAAATCAACACAGAAATGACCAGTCAGATGTTTAATAGTCCAAGCTGTATATCTGGGAAAATTCATTTATAAGATAGCTGTAACAAAAAATTAAGGGTACAATTAACAGATTTCTGTCTCAAACAACTAACTTTGAATAAGACTGTGTGTGAATCAGGGTGGAAAGTGATGACAGGGAACTTGCTGCACTATTATATTCGCCTAATAAGCACAACAGGATTAATTCAATTTTCATTATCAGTGGGAGCAGCAGTTTTGATGGAAACTGAGTGAAATGGTCACTTGGTAACTTTTTAAGAGGTGTATTCTACAGCATACCCATGCAACCCAACTGACACCCCTAAATGCCCCATTTTCATTACCTGTTGGTCATCTGGAGTCCATATGCCACAGGTGATCTGACTCTCCAAGTTTATTTCTGAAGACCAGTGTCTTTGTCCGCTGACTGAACCGACCAGCACAAATCCATCTCTATAGGAGATAAGTGCCTGAGTTCCATCATGGCTCCATGTAAAGTCGCTTACCTTAACATATCAAAGACAAGAAAATATATATATGGGCCACGTAGGACTTTCTTACTGTTTTAATAAAAGGCAGCAGTGCACAGAACGAGATAGGCCAACTATTAGCCCAGCTGAAGCTCTGATGTCAGGCTTACTGGAGAAAGCACTGTGCTTGCCAGGTGTCTTTGTGACAAGTCTTGCATATTCCTTTCAATAAAGAAATGTTTCATTTTCTCCTGTGCTTTTTGAAAGGTATAAAGTACCATTCCTTGTTTGGCCTCTAAGGACCTGATCCCTCTTGACTGCAAAGAAAACATGCATACCAACCTGCGCCCCACGATCGTTCACAAGCTCCACAGACCATCTGCCTTCATATTGTATCCAAACAAATATTCCTCCATCTGCATCGCAGGTTGCTAATTTCTGGAATGGTTCATTCCATCTCACCAGCACAACCTTAGAAGATTACAAACAGAAACAGCATTACTGAAACTGCATGTTGGGCTAACAGCTATTTAACAAGAACCAGTAAAACAACACTGCCAAATAAATATCATCGCATTTAAACCCTAAAGATGCACAAAATAGCAATTTTCAGCCCAGCATTAGGCTCCTCTTGAGAACAGCTGGTATCATTTTGTCATGGTTGTCAGGAAATGCACAATCTCTCACCGTCAGGCCTTTTTGGAAGGCACTGAGCACTTTCAATAAAATCACAGGGAACACTGGAGCACAGGACTCCATTATAGAAGCTGCAAACAGGAAGCCCTGCACAGATTATCCAACAGTCCCTCAAATGATTCCCCCAATGTAATCCCAGAGACTGTCAGAATCTTTGTCAAATCATTACCTCTTGCTGACTTCAAATAAAGTGGCATGCTCTGCACACAATTCAAATACTCGGATTCAAAACAACCGGAGAGTCTCAAATTATTAAAAAATAGGAATTTCATAGGAAAGTTGCTTTGCTACGGAATGCAGAAGGAATACAAAGCAGCTTTGGATTCTTCTCTCCACAACAGAGCTATCTGAGCTTTTGTGGAAAATCTAATCAAGTCTAAACCTACCAAATTGCTTTCTCATTTTTAATTAATATCAATTTAACAAACACAGTATGTCTCAAGATCTCAGTATAAAACTGAAAAAAGCATGTCATCCGAGTGCCTGAAGCAAAAATTAGCAGTAAAACAATTTACCTTCTGTTAGTGACTTTTCCTTAAAAAAAGTTATTTTCCCAATTAGTTTTATTTCAAAAACATGCAGATATATGGGACACTTATATTCATACACAAGTAAATTCCCCCCCAGCTATTTTCTTGAGACTAGATTATGCAAACAAAGTAAACATATATTAAATACTCAATTAGTAGAGTGTTATTTCAACTACTTAATAAACATCCAGCTGTAATGACACTTTTTCATAAAACTAAATGGATAATTAATCATCTAAAAGCAAAGGCAAAATTTTCCTGAAATACGTTTTGCTGTTTACAGAGATGGACTGATCCTCCTAAAGATTCCAGTCTTAAGATGAGCTCTAAGTAGACAGACCCTTCCTGCTTCACAAGGAAATCAGGAGTAGGATATAAATATGCATACCTTAAACCTAAACTTGACAGCTGAGGGATGATCTTACACTTATTTAGTGAGTGCTACACTTATTCAGAGCGTCAAGGTCACAACTTAAGAATGTTAAACTGTAATCAGTGGAGCTCACCAGCCTGAAGCATCAGCCCTAGAACCTTTAAACAAGCACAGGAAAACAATTTCTTCATTCATATGCAAAGATTATGGGGAGAAGCAAATATAAGAAAACACCTCTCTGTTGTTACACAGCTCAGAATAATCCCATTTGAGATTTTGCAGAAAAACACTGGCTTCTACTTAATACAACCCTGCAGCTGCACTCTAAGTTACCAGTCCTGTTTCCAGTTGGGCAAATTATACAATGCCCCTATATAGATTATATCACACTCAGCTTTTTAAAAGAATTCTCAGGTTGGAAGAGCAGTTAATAAAATATTCCATTATAGCAATGCAAGCAGATGCATTTGGTTGGAGGTTTCACTCTGTCCCTTCCACCTAAACAAAAGTAGCACAGATTTGTCAAAATTTTGTTTTCATTTTGGTATAAATCCAACGCACAGAGCCATAATTTCATTCATCCTGAGGCAAAATGCAACAATGACATGAGTGTATGTGCCAGCAATACCTAACACTGTTATGAAAGAAGTAAAGAAAAACTCAAAGATAACATTGAAAAAATCTTCATCTTTAAAAGCTGGGAGCTGCTAAGGCTAGTGATGACCATTAATGACTGGAAGGTATTTATCACCACTAAAACACTGATCTTTAAACACTTAGACACTACCCATGTTTCACAGATCATACCAAATGAATTCTCCATCATACCAGAATAAATTTCTAGACAAAATTTAGGGGAAAAAAAAAGAACTAGTTGTTCAAGTAATGTGAATGCTTTAGCAAACACCATAAAAAATGCTACTACTTGACTTAAAATTTCCCTGTTTAGTCTGGCAAAGATTTGAGATAAACACACAATTTTACAGATCAGACACACAAGTTGACTTTATAATAGGAATTAAGGGCAAAGTGACAACAGTTACTTTGTTGTGTTTTGTTTCTTTTCTATTTTAAATAGGAATCTTGTTAAAACTTCAAAATTTTAATTCAGATTCTATAAAACCTGTCTTTTGTTTAGATTTGATAAAACATCCAAGAGTACTTTTGAATGTAAACAAGATTAACTAGAGCCTCCATCCATCTCAATTAGATTCAAATTAGTAACTTCTGAAATAAACTCCTTGCTCTATAATCAGACATGAAAGCAGGACAATGATTTTTCTATGCCTTCTGATAATAGCTTCACATGGAAGCAAATTTGTAATTTGAATATTCAACTCATTTAAACACAGAGCAAATGTTATTTTACAAAGTAATTTTAAAGACGCTGCCGTAATTTACACTTAACATCTGAGATCAGGTGCTGAGTCTACAACTGCTTTGAGTATTTCCAATTTCATTTTAGACACTTAACATGCTGAAGAAGAGATAAAAAAAGGAAGGATTGCCCTAAGTATTAAGATGACTTTTGGCTTTTATGTCGGCTCAAATGTAAAGTATATGAAAACATGTCCCATTGATAGCCCACTTAACACATAAGACTGAATTACCCCTCTACAAAGAGGAATTTTACTGCTAACCCATAAATGCAAAGCTATCATTACTTTCACTAACAGCTTCAACTCACACAGGACTCATTTTTACTTCTGCCTTTATGGTCCTCTGTTTTCTACTTAGCATCTTCACTCAGGTACTGAAGGTCTGAACTGTTTTATCTTGTACTCAAAAGAGAGAGAATGTTGGTACACAAAATTAAGTTGTCTCTGGAACATCTGGGGTCCACACAGCCTTTCTATATTGTCTAATTATTTTTGTTTATTTGTTGGTTGGTTGTGGGTTTATTTAATTCTATAAAAAATACAAATTGTGGTCATTCTACTCTTAAAAAAAAAAATGTACCACAGGTATTAATCAGCTTCTAAAACACTGTCTCAAACAGGATATGATCTCTCATGAATAAAATTTGGCCTGAGATATTAAGTACAACATAAAGGCCAACAATTTGCCCCTAACCAAGATGCTTTCCACAAAGCTGTGAGCTTTTGAGTCAGTCTTGTGTTTTCTTTGAGCTCCTTTTTATACAATGAATAGTGGTAAAAAAAAATGTTTAAAAAGTTCATCATTCAGGACCTTCAATATCTCTGGTTTAACTGGCAACTTAATGTTTAGGAATTAAATTTAATTAATCCTACATGTGCTAAAACTCTACCCAAGAACTTATTGCATACTTTAATGCTGCTAACAATGTTATTATCTACTTAAGATTTTAGACAAGAAATCTTGAGTAACTGCAGTTTTGGAGTAGCAAGTGTGTGATTTACAGTAACTGATCTCTTCCCAACATAAACCAGGTTTAGTAATCTAAATTTACTACATGCTATTGACACTTTTAATAATTTTTTCACATTTTCTAACACAACACAAGACCACTAAAATCCAAAGCATTCGGAGAGCTTTTGTTATTCCTAATTTCAATATGGTTTTTGAAGGAGATAATTGAAAATACGACGCAAATCAGTTTTGCAAGAGCAAAACTCCTTAATCTAGAAAACCACACAAGTGTCATTAGTGAAATCTTATTTCTGTACATACAGTACATAATTGCCAGAGAAGCAAGGGACAAATATATACAAAAAAATAAAAGGGGTAAGTAACTAGGGCAATTAGTTCCTAGAGCTCCTTACCAAATTTAGATAGATTTTATTATGGATATACTGTAGTGAGTCACAGTGACTCATTTTTTTAAATGTCTGATCCTCAATCCATTTTTCTGGGGAGAGGCATATGCTCTAAAGATAGAGGTCTTCTCCAGCATTCATTTTCACATATGCTATGGAGATATGCTTGCACATGGACTGCCACAGCAACAGAGAGCAGAGAATACTCCATGCCAATGCTTGATTACAGCATGCTCTGCAACACCTGAAGAGCCATGTTCCTGTATCTGGCATGAGCGTTTCTGCAATTACAAGTGAAGCTGACATCTTTGCAGGGTGCACAGGATGCATTTTAACTCCATATGGAATGGCTGGCCTTTCCCTCCCCAGTTAAATCATACTACATTTCTAATGCTATTGTAAGTGAAACAGGTCCACCCTCCAAGCAGTGACAGCACAAGACCTAACTGTTCCTAGGACAGAATAAGGAAGGAGATTAGTCCTGTTATGCAACTCCCTAATAAATACATTGATCTTTACTCGTGGTTAAAGTATGGATAAATACATGCATAAAGTAGGTGCAACATACTGGCACACATTACAGTTTATTAATGGACACAGAGCTGAAAAAATCTGTGCGTATATCTATCAAAGAAAAATGTGTGTGCAGTAGGGAGCACAAATGGAACACATGTACAAGAACCAAAGAAAACAATGACCATCTTTACATGCTACTGCATTTCAGTGCTTCTCCCTCTATTGTACAGAGAGATACAGCTACACATGTATACAAGTGTATATACATTACATACATATAACATGGGTATGTGCAGGAATACACATTCAATCCTAGAGGAGCCTGCGCCAGCTTTGTACATTCACTAGTTAACTAACTGAAGTTAGTCAACTGAAGTGGGTTTCTGTAACTAAAATATAATTTGAAAGTTGGAACAAGCACCCAGAATAAGCAGTAGAGTTGTAGTTAACGAGTTATTGCTTCTCACTATACTTTACCAATAACCAATATTTAGTTCTAAATGGTTCTGCATATGTTTAATTCAATGCAACATTTAACTGTCTTTTAAATGTCAATATTTTTTAAATGAAGGTTATCTGAGTTTTCTCTCTCCTAATTTCTCATGCTGCAGATTGTTA